GCTTCTAGCTTCGCCGAAGCGAAGGCGTCCTGGATCGCGGAGAATCCTCGGGGCTCCGGAGGAGTTCTCACCTACATCGTCCATATAGGATGACTCGGGAACTCAACTCCTACCCCGGGCAGCTCACCTATCCCCTTATGCCCAGGGGAAAGGTATCAAGCCGTTTGACAGCTGATGCTAGCTGTCAAACCGGCTTTTATGCGAAACAGGCGGGAGGCAGCAAACAGCTGCGACCGACGAAGACGCCTGCCACCGGAAGTCCCCGATACAGACTGTTATCTTATGCACAGTCATAAATGATGCTCTTATGTAACAATGGAAAGGGACAAGGGATCAAGCTCACCACAACACTCACCCTATTGGATGGCCTAATTTCATCTTGGGTCACAGCTAAAAATTATGAATCCCACTTTTAATACCAGTTTCTGTGGAATCCAAATTCAGGATCCAAAGCAAATAATCAAGGTTCATTGCAATGTTTATTAGGCAGTATGTACTATGGAAAGCTGAAGTAAGATCAGAAGCACAATCATGGTTTCACTTCACTTAATAAACAAGTTGCTGGTGCCAGTTGTGGTTGCTAAACAAGAACTACTTGTAACTTCCCTTAACCTTTGCCCTTATTATTACCACTCTTTCTCCTACAATTAATACATATGAAAAAATTAAAATGTTAATATTTATTTTTTAAAAAATCCTCCATTCTCCATAGATAATTCTTTCTAACTTAAGGCTAGGTGTATAAGATATTTTATGGGAAAATATCTATACATTCTTCCACCTGATCACTATGACCAGTTTGGCCAGAATTTTGCTGATAAAGTCACTTGGAATCACTGTAGGCTTGACTCCTCCCTAGATAGATATGTTAGGGGTGACTAGAACATTGTCTTGCTTTCTTATGTAGCACTCCTTTGATTTTTGGCCTTTGAAGATAGCATGCTGTCTCGATTGTCTTCTGCCATTTGCTAGTTGTTCACTGTCCCTCTCAGTTGTATAGGCAACAGGAATAGCAATGACCATTTCAGTCTGCAAAATTGTCAATGCTTGTTCTAGAACAGGCAACTGCTGACAGCATGAAAAAGGCTGTAGAGCATCCCTTTCTGAAGATGTTATCACTGGACTCAGTGATGTTAGACAACTACTGACAGATTTCCAACCTGTCTTTTTGAAAAAAGGTTATTGATAATGTGGTGGTGGACCAACTTCACATCAATGTAGATAAAGCAACTTATCCAGACCCTTTTCAATCATGGTTCAAGCCTGGAATTGAAGTCTGCACATGTTCAAGTGGCCAAGGTTGAGAAACATTGCCTTAAAGTATATTCAGAAAATGCAGTTGATTCAAATAAACCCACATACTTTTGGGCTTCCCCATTTGGGAGCGCCACATTTGGGGACATTTATTTGGTTGTCAATTGGTTTCAAGGTCCAACTTAATATACAGGTTTTGACCTATAAAGCCCTTCATGGCATGGCCCTTGGATAGCTATAGAATCATCCTGACCACTTAGATCTACCAGAAAAAAAGTGCAAATCCAACACTTCTGAGAGGTTTCTTTTCTGTTGCAGCACCTCTATTTTTAAACAGCCTCCCTGTGGAGATCAAACTGACTTCTTCTTGCTGGTCCCTTCATTTGACCTGAAGTGATTTGAGTTGATTTGATATGGCTTTTATTCTCTTTGCATTGTTAAACTTGTATTATGTTTTTACTATGTAAGGGATACATTTTATATTGTGACAGAGAAACATAAAATAAAAAGCTCAAAAGGAATGGGGAAATCTTGTAAAATAGTGCAATTTGAAAGCTGAAACAGATTCTGGAATAAACCAGTGAAAATTTTCCTCAGAACTGTAGTGTTTTTAGGAACTACCCACAATGGAATTGTCAAAATAGCTGACAAAATTGAAATTATTCAATCATATAACATTTAGTTTACAAAAACAACTTAGCTTATATCCATTATATTACAATGGATATAAAGTTTGATTTCACTCTGCATTTCTATCATTTGGTGAATATGCTTCAGAAGAGACAATAGTAATAATAATATAACAATAGCCATAAAAAATAAAGCCACTATCCTAAACAGATAGAAAATACTTCTTACTAAAGTGGAGATTGTGCCTATAATATTAAAAGATTTGTCTAGAACAGCATTTGCCAGTCTTGGCAATTGTATAGACTTCAATTCCGAGAATTCCCATCTGGCATCATCATTACAATCTGTAGAAATAGAAGTCCACACAACCTAAAGTCTGATACAAATGTTATTAGTGATAGGAGATCATGTGTGTGAATTTATAATCTGGAGAGAGAAAATGCAGAAAAAGACTTGTTTATGTTTTCACTATTAGCTGCTTTTTTATATTCAGATCTGGTCTTATTAAAATAATGTAGCACTTGGGTATGAAGATGCAACCCAGCAGGCCAGCACTGGAAGCCAAGATGGAGAAGACCTGCACAGCCACCATATATTTCCCTTTGGTGCTCAGGTAGGTGGGTACAAAAGACACCCAGACACTACAGAAGACCAGCATACTGAATGTAATCAGTTTGGTTTCATTAAAGGCCCCAGGGAGATTCCTGGCCAGGAAAGCCACTATGAAGCAGATACTGGCTAGGAGGCCCATGTAACCAAGAGCAACATAAAACATGGTAAGAGACCCTTCATTGCACTGAAGCACAATTTCTCCTGATTGGGAGTGCATATCATAATCAGGAAATGGAGGAAAGACCACCAGCCAGATGCTGCAGATGACCACCTGAATACTGGAAGAACAAAGGATGATGGAATAAGTCAATCTCCTTCCCAGCCATTTTCTCACTGTGTTTCCTGGCTTTGTGGCCAGAAAAGCCAGCACTACCATGATTGTTTTGGCCAAGACAGAAGAGACAGCAACTGAAAATATGATGCTAAAGACTGTTTGTCGGAAAAGGCAATTGATTCTCCTTGGATATCCAATGAAAAGGAAGGTTGTTAAGAAAGAAAGCAGGAGTGAGATGAGAAGGATGAAGGAGAGATTCCGATTATTGGCTTTGATGATGGGAGTATCTGTGTATTTAGTGAAGATTGCTAACACTAAGGCAGTAATTAAAGACAAAAAGACTGCAAGTGAAGCCACAATGCTTCCCAAATATTCTTGATAGGAGAGAAAGGTTATTTCCTTAGGGAGACATTGATCTTGCTCGTTACTTGGATGCTGATCTTCTGGACATTTGGTGCAATAATCTGCATCTGAAGAGAAGTACATCTTTAATATTTTCTGTTTTATTTTTTTCCCATACCAGTAACAAGAAAACCTTATAGGGTAGAAGAAAGAGTAATAATAAAGGTTAGGTATGAACTGAGGGTAATGAGGGATTATCCTTTTCCCAGTTCCTTATCATTGGTTTCATGAACAGAACAAGCAAGGTACAACCTAGAGGCAAAACATTTACCCTTTTTATTAAGTTATTTATTTAACTATTTATGTATTATCATATTTCTTTAGTGCCCGTCTCCCTCAGAGAGAGGCTTTTTGCTAAACAATTGCCTTTTATCAAAGAGCTGCTGATTTTTTTCACCCACCTTCCTGACTGGAGAAGGTGTCTTCTGCACAGGAAACACAGTCATAACAGCAAATGGGCTTCCCTTCATGACCCACCTTAAAAAATCCAGGCTGACAACTTTCCACACACCTGGAAGGAGGCAGACTCTAAATAGAAAAAAAATGGGGAATATAAAGGAATACAATTTAAGGATGACTTGTTGAATAAAGAAATTGTAAGGCAAGAGTTAGCAAGGCCCTAATAGCAATTTCAGATCCAGACCAAATTTAACTTTAAAACAGCAACATTGGGACTATTTCTATGACTAACCCTTATCAGATAACTGTACAATGTATGCTTTATTCAGTTTATTAAACTAGAAATGAATCATGATAATTTAAAATACCCAATAAAAACAATTATTCCATCAAACTCTGGCTTAGTTTCCTGTCTTTTCTATTATTTGTTATATGTTTTATTCTGTAGGAATCTTAAGACTGCTAGCTCCCCAATCTAATGTGTAAAGCAGGCAATTTGGAGCTATAAAAATAAAAAAGAAATAGAAATGAATGTCATTGGTTTTTCCTACCTTGTTAAACCACTGGGGCCTTAAAATGGTATCTTGGTCAATGACAAATCTGGGTTCCTGGGATTTCTGTCTTGCAAAACTTCCAAATTTCACTCTAAGTAGAGATCTATTTGGAAATTTCACATAGTTCACAATATCAAAGTCAGCAGCCAGCTTGCCATTCTTGTCCAAATACACCCCATCCATGGAACTGTTGTGAAACTGGGTGTTTTGCAGAAAATGATGAAGCTGGCATGGTGAGGACAACATCATCAATAAGAAAAACCTGCAGCCTTTTATAGAAGAATCACATGATCTCAACTACATCCTTCTCAAGCTTGGGTTTTTCTGATTCATTAGATAAATAAAGACCCTCAAGGCATTTTTTTAATCTTTTGTTGAAGCAACCTTCAATTTCTGGTCATTTTATAGACATATCAATGGAATTTTCTTGGCAAGAACAACAAAATCATTTGCTATTGTTTTGATCAGATATGCTTGGCATCTCCCCAGTCCAGTCTGCAACCCTGGGATTGTCTGTGAATCTCTCACCCAAATATCAAGCTCAATTCTACATAGTTTTCAAGCCCGGATAAGTTCTACCAAATAAAGTCACCTACTCAGTCCTGATTCATTGCTGATTTTATATTCAAATTCTTGTGAACTAAAACATTCACTTTTGGAAAGAATTTGATATTATAAATATTATTTATCATAAAGCAATGCATTTATTTAACAGCCTGTCTCTTTCTCATTACTTTAAAGATGTATACATAGCATCCCCTACTCCCATTCTTCCCCATAATAACAATCATTTTGGGTCTCCACAATTCTAGCTCAACATTTTTATTACTACTTTTAAGAGTTAACCCAAGAAGCAACAATTCCAAAATCAAAGATGTTAGTGATAGCAAGAAGCAATCATTAGGAATACTTTTCTCTCAATTGCTGGAAAAAACTTAACATTTTCTACTGCGGCAGCCATTAAGATTTTGATTAAATATGTGGTGTCAGTAGAGAGGCAAAAGGTTTTCCTTAAGGACCCCATTTACAGAACAGAAACTCTTGAATATAGAAGCAACAGGGTCTCTTCATGGAGCCTATTTTATTCCCAAAAATCAACCTTTTCCATATCAGTCTCAATCTATATACTGTAGTATACAAAGCTGGTCATTGGAATAAATGCCTCTTGCGAAAACCTTGATGTCCACCTGTTGACTTAACACCACCCACATGTATTTACTTTACCATCCTCAATAGCTGATAGTAACTAATAGTATTACTGGTAGTATTCACAATTCTTGAGTTTAGCTGAGATCTCTGATAGAACACAAAATACCTGCCAAGGTTGCAGCCTTTCCAGTTTCAAGGCATTTCCGCCTATCAACCTCTCCCTGGATCTGGAGAAAGAGGCAGCATCTAAGGCCCTTGCCACAGCCCAGATGGTATTGTAAACATGATAGCTGTGAGAAAGGGTGTTTTCAATCTCCTTCTGCAACCGACTGTCCAGTTCTTCTCTCTCTTTGCATCTAACCCACCTTTTAGCAGGGAAGAAATGCTTTTCAAATGAACACATGAAAGCTTTCATGACAAACTGGGCAATTGAAGAGTAGAGGACTTCTGCTGTATCATATTTTATCCAGTTCTTTGACTGGATGGAGCAAGAGAAAATACCATCAACATATCGGAAGGTTTTATGTCTCAAATTCAAAGAGAGATCCCACATAGCTGTTACCACCCAGATTTTTCTTATTTTAGGTTTTATCAAGAATGTAAATATGTTCTCAATTATATCCATCCCATAGAAATACATACTCTGCAAAGTAGATTCTGCATAGTAAATAAATACATTGACTTGTCTCCATTTGTGGTACAAATCAGGGTTAATGTTAAATGGCTTAGTTTGGATCATTGTGATCCTCTGCAAGAAAACAGCACAAACACTATTTTTGGCCAGTAAAGGTGTTAGAGTTTTCAAGAACTTTTCTCCATTGTCAGTTTCTGGAGCGACAAGAACCACTGATGTCCATCTGAAATACTGCAGCAGTTTAATAATCCCTGCATATTGGATTCCTTCATTTGGAAGCATCCGGTAGAAAAAAGGAAATTGGGTTTTATCATTCATATCACCAGAAACAAAAGCGTATGAGATCTGGAGAAAAATGGAAGAAAGTGATAATGCCCAGCAAAATCTTTTTTTTTCACTTGAAATTGTAAGTAAATTGTAAATTGGGAGATAATTGTGAGAGGGAACAAGACTAGTTCTATTTCTTCAAGGAAGGTCCAGTTCATGAGAACACATAATCCCTTCTCATTCTCACTGGCTATTTCTAACTATGAATTAAATTAAACTGTTTCATATATGTGTCTATTCGGATGCAGAGTATAGAATTCCCTAATATTCTCCTACACTTCCAAAAGAGATGAAGCTTTCCAGAATTTCATTTCACTTTCCCAATTGTCTTTCACAACACCAAGAAACACATTTCAAAATGAGAACCTGCTTACTTTTTATGGACAACCAAGAACAGCTAAAGATCTTGCCATCATATGGATCACTGGTGCTCATGAAACCAACTTAAGGATATTATGGATCCTATCCATTCCTATGGCAAATGGATCCCAAGTATTTACTTTTTTAGCCAGCAGTGTATAAGCAGACCAGTGCCCTGTTCGGTTTGATATACTAGATAAAGCAACGGTTGACTTCAGGGAAGTATCTATTTAGCTCTTCTGGCAAATATACACATGTGGTTGCCACTGTCTTATTCTGGGATGTTTTTTGAGATCCCAGACTAACCTATAGCCCTGGACATATTCATCCAAGTCCTAAGCAAGACTGTTGCTTAGGAAGAACTACAAGATCCATAGTTGGATCTGGGTGATCATTTCTTCTCTTCCACATTTTTCCTTGGCAGACCATGTAGTATCTCCCCACATATTGTTTTCAAAGTTGGATAAATAAGTATCCTTATACCTCCATCTCTAAACTTGCTTGCTAAGAAGAAAGTCCAGAGCATTGCAGTAAAATATTCATAAATGACTGGAGTCAAATGGTAGTATTTTTCACTGAGTTGAAGGCACCTCAGAAGACAGATTTATGCTTCTAATATGTCTCCTTGGGGCACTGATTTTACTTTTCAAAATTTATTGGCATAATAAATGAAAAAAAAATTTTTTTGCCACCAAATAGGAAAACTCTAAAACATCTTTTATGACACCCCTTTATAAACCTTTTTTCTTTATAAACCCTTTTTTTGTCTGAAATCCAGCTTGAATATTTATTGCCCATCTGCTAAATGCTTGGAAACTTCCTTGGTCAAAATCAATTATGACCTTGTCTCAAATCCACAAATCTTACCTGTGGGATTTTGTAGATGCTCAGCATGGTTGCAGTATGGGAGGAAAGGTCAGAATTGGTGCCTTCAAGGAGGGCTAGCAGGTTTTTTTCTCTTCCACATTTGTAGTTAGGAACATTTGCCTCCCCAGCAGAAAGTAGATCTAGTAAGGCTTCAGCATTCATTTCTGCATTGAAATTACTATCATGGACGTTGTAACCCAGAGTGATGTTGGGTAAGATGAGGGGGTTCTGGTTGATCTCACGGATGGCAGTCAAGAAGGAAAAGAGGTGCCAGTTTTCCTGTCTTTGATTCCTGCATATATTATGTATCATATCACTGTCCAAATTCAATATCAATGTCATTCGCATATTTCTTCTTTGACTTAAATGGAGATACGTAAAGATCTTAACTCAGGAAGATAAATAGGACATAACAATGGTTAACTGTTCTCACTATTAGGAAGTTTCTCCTTAATTCCTTGGAGGTTTTCTAGTCCAACCCCCTGCTCAGGCAGGAAACCCTATACCATTTCAGACAAATGGTTGTCCAGTCTCTTCTTAAAAACTTCCAGTGTTGGAGCATTCACCACTTCTGGAGGCAGATTGTTCTACTGGTTAATTATTCTAACTGTCAGGAAATTTCTCCTTAGTTCTAGGTTGCTTCTCTCCTTGATTAGTTTCCACCCATTGTTTCTTGTCCTGCCCTCTGGTGCTTTGGAAAATAAGTTAACCCCCTCTTTTTGTGGCAGCCTCTCAAATACTGGAATACTGCTATCATGTCAGCCCTAGTCCTTCTTTTCTCCAGACCAGTCAAACCCAAATCTTGCAGTCATTCTTCATGTGTATTAGTCTCCAGACCTTTCATCATTTTAGTTGCTCTTCTCTGAACTTTTTCCAAAGTTTCAACTATTTTTTATAATGTGGTGACCAAAACTGGATGCAGTATTCCAGGTATGGTCTTACTAAAGTTTTATAAAGTGATACTAATACTTCACATCATTTTGATTCTATGCCTCTGTTTATTTAATCAAGAGACTTACGCTGATCTCTTGTACTTCATTTTGAAGTATGCAAAGTCCAAATTAAAAACTTAGCAATGGAAGAAATATTCTATATCTACCACTAAATGTAATGATTCCCAGCTGTAATTAATTTTTGAAGAACTTTGCATTCAGAATCTGTCATATTTATCTTAGATATGGATTGCCATGTATAATTTTCATCCAGTGGAAAATATTTCCCTCATTTCAAGCAATCACTCAGGATCAGCTGCAAAAATCTGAAGTAGCAAATTGGCCTCAACAGAACTGTCTCCTTGCTATGATTATGAGTTTCCAATTTTTGCCCTCTCTGTCTCTCTGTCTCTGTCTCTGTCTCTATCTCTCTCTGTCTGTCTGTCTCTCTGTCTCTTTCTGTCTCTGTCTCTCTGTCTCTGTCTCTGTCTCTGTCTCTGTCTCTGTCTCTGTCTCTCTCTCTCTCTCTCTCTCTCTCTCTCTCTCTCTCTCTCTCTCTCTCTCTCACACACACACACACACACACACACACACACACACATTCTGCTATTCTGCACTGTAAATTCAACCATAATTCAATCGTCTGCAATTGGAAAAAGCCACCACAGCCTCGTGACACTTTCTCTCTCCTGCCAGATGCAGTTTTGCATATCACAACAGAGACTATCGTAATTCCCCAATTTTCCTGAGAAAATGAGGAGTTCTGTTTCTGTCTCCTACCTAACTGTCACCCTCTCTGGTATTTCTTCATTTGTGCTGCAAGCTCTATTCTACATGTGGTTGCATACAGTAACAAAAGAAAGGAACATTATTCTTCTTTTTTAATGTTAGGAAAATTCTGAGAAGGAGGAATCTGAAGATGTTGTCCTACTTCAAACTGCACCAAATTTTAGATTTGCATGAATAGGAAAACAGTGAGAGGATACCACAGAGTTATGGAGACCCCTTATTTGAACACTAAACGTAGGTTTTTGCTTTGCACTCAAAAGGTATGGTGCAATGTTCTTTATGTAAATTTTAAAGAAATCTGATCAACTGCAGGGTCTGAAGGAAAAAGCAGTACTCTTGGTAACGCCTTAACCTTGATGAATCCCCAAGCCTTTGTCATCTCCAATAGCAATTTGGTAAAGGGAAAAAGGAATAAGTAAAATCAGTAGCAAATGGAATGGCAGCAAGGTGATCTATCCATAATGACTCACCAGAGAAAAAAGTAGCTGGAGGGAATCACACTGAAATTGTAAATTGGCCGTATAGCTTTCCTTGCTGAAATTACTCCACCAATGACATAATGGCCTGGCCTGAAATAATTTCTCCAGTATTTTCCATATTCTTTTAAAGTCAAGGGGCATTTTCTTTGTGAGATCTCCCAGGATATTAGGGGAAGCAGTAGTAGAAAAAGGAAAGCCATTATGTGCATTTCTGGAATAGCCACTGACTCATCAGAAGCCGTTTTAAAAAAGAGTCAGAAGGATCTCAATTCGGAGGCTTTGATGACTTTCCTGATTGAAAGGAAACCCAAGAAAAGCTTTATGTCTGAAGGCGATCGTAGAGACTAAACCCTTTTCATGTGCTCTTGTCTTCAGTTTCAATTCTGTGTGGTCCAGGAGGCATATATGATGGTTTGCTTTCAGACCTGGAGGGAAGATGTCATCCAATGTTCCATTGTTCTAATGTTTGTTTCAGAGGCAATCTTGGGAAAAATCTCTAGAGATTCATTATGAAGGTAAAGTAAATCACCATTATTTTGAAATGTTCAGCTCTGGAACAGAGTAAAATGCCTCTAAAACACAAAGCTGCATTACAGGAACCTTTAAAAAAAAATCAGCTACTTCAACAGTTTGAGAGTACAGTTCAGAAATTATTCCAGCATACCAATAAAGGAGAATACTTGTAGCTCAAAGTTGAAATGATATTTGGTGCTCTCTGACCTTGGCTGTTTTCTTGCAGACATTTCATTACCCAAACTAGGTAACATCATCAGTGCTAGTGCTGATGGTGATGATTAGCACTGATGATGTTACCTAGTTTGGATATTGAAATGTCTGCAAGAAAACAACCAAGCTCAGAGAGCACCAATATATCACATATATCACAAGTTCTCTTCCTTCCTTTACAACCAGTTCCAGTGGATATTGGGGAATGAAGAGTTTGCTCTCAAGGCCCCTCATATGCAGGGTACTACAGGATTCAACCCTCTCTCCTATCCTGTTCAACATCTACCCAAAACATCTGCCAGTTTGGGGTATGGTATTGTCAATATACTGATGACATGTAAATACAATGTTTGACCCCAGGCCATCCAAGTGAGGCTGTCAAAGCTCTGTTGCAGGGCCTGGAGGTTGTTTAGGCTTGGATGAAACCAACTCTGATAACTCAGAGGTCTCTGCCCTACCCAAACTAAGTGCCTATGGTTGTTGGGGCCACTTAGGTTTGAAGATTTTCTAGCCTTATATCTGGATGGGGTTGCAGTTCCCCATTCAAAATAGTGTGCAACTCAGGGAACTTCTTGAACTCATGACTCTACCTCGAAGACCAGGTGACAATTGTGGCCAAGAGGACCATTGCAAACCTCCATTTTTGCCCTTCCTTGGATCAAACTGCCCTCCAGTTAATCACAACATCGTCACTTCACAGATCAACTACTATAATATTGCATGGGACTGACTTTGAAGTCCATTTGGAAGCTTGAGCTGGCCCAGAATGCAGTGATATGAGCAATGATGGGCTTGCACATGTGACTTCTCTGCTTGTGAGTTGCACTGCACTCCAGTGTGCTTCAGAGTGGGGACATTCTAGTTCCCTCTATTATATACTGTCATCTTTCAGAATCCAAGACACACACCTCTGGAATGAGGTTACCCTGTAATCTGAATGGTTCTCACCCTAGTGGCATTTCTGAATGTTTTATATATACATTCCTTGGTGTTTTATATATTGATGTGTTTCTGGATTGCCATTTTGTACTTATTTTGTAACCATTTGGTAATTTGAAATGGTGTTGAACTTTTCAGCTGTATGGCTATGGACTAGTTTCATTTTGCCATGAGGTTTCACAAACAGGAGTGACTGACATCTTCAGAGAAAGAGTGGGCTGCTTTCTGATGTACTGCTCAACAACTCACAGGCAACTGAATATGCACTGACTGGGTTCCAGTCTTGTAGTGTAATGATCAGCTTGCCAGGTACAAATACAAGAGCTAGATTCAAATACAAAGCCCAAACAAGTCAATTTCATCACATTCTTCACATTGATTAGATGAACAAACCATTTCAATTACTTTAAGTACAGTTGTGATGACCCAGGGCACGGCACAGAGGCAACACAGTCAGCTGGCAGTTCAAACCACCCCTTTATTGTTCCAAATGTTCCTCAAACGCTCCCACATTTCTGGAAAGTCCCAGAACAAGTAACGACACCCACACCCACACCTTCAGCAGCCTCTGGCTGCAAGTAGTTTCAAAGGTTTTTAGATTAGAACAGCAATTTACTCAAGGCCAAGTAAATAACAAAGAAAGGAACATACATCCAAATCTAATGAGTCTGTGGAAATACAAGCTTGCCTGAGTAGTTTCAGAAGAGAAGCCAAAATTCAATCTGAGGTTTGGAGCACCAAATCAAGTTTGTCAGCCAGTCCAATGGTCAGAGTTTCAGGGTTTACAAGTAGAAATCACAACACAGAACAAAAGATCAGAGAGTTGTTTCCAACATCAGCAACAGCACACAAACCTCAGTGAGTTTTAAGCTTCCTAACTATAGGCTTCCAGTTTTCATGGGCAAGTGTTTGCTACCTAATATCTCTCCATTAATGAATTGTAACTTTTCAAAGATATTCCAGTTATCATTGATCCCATAGATCCCATACACTCCCCAGGGTCTTTGTACAGTCAGGCAATCTCTCAATCAAAAGAAGAGAGAGATAGAGAAGGAAGGGAGGGAGGGGAGAAGGAAGGAAGGAAGGAAGGAAGGAAGGAAGGAAGGAAGGAAGGAAGGAAGGAAGGAAGGAAGGAAGGAAGGAAGGAAGGAAGGAAAAAAACTGATGAGTAAGCCCAACTGGATCATGATCCTACTTTCAAAAATTCAGCGTTTGTTCCTGACAAATGCCCCTCCCCACAGCATCTCCTTAAGTCTCAGTCCCTAGGTGTGCCTTATGGAGAGGAGCGGGGCGCTCTCCTCCCAAGTAGTCAGGCCTGCCTGTGTTGTTCCCTCCTCTCCATTTTCCATGCTCTAGGATCAGGAGGGTGTGGCCCTTGCTCATCGCCTGAACTCTGTCTCTCTTGTTCCTCCTGTCCCAATCCTGAAGGGGCCTGGCCTGCCTCGGCCTGCTCTTCCCCACATTCCTCTGAAACCAT